AAAACGACACTATCAAATTACTTTCTCAGTTTATGCTCGTCAATATTGCGGATGTTATGTTGTCACGGACAGTATTATGATATCTGGGAAGTGTGGTAATCCACACTTACTGTTTCTTAGTAGAACTGTAACGAGCTAGCTAATGAATACATTAGAATATTGATATTGACGTATGAAGGCTAAAGTTTAACCTCAGCTGCTATTAGAAAACTTAAATAACACTATTAAACAGTTAAATCTTAGCTTCAAATAACAGTATCTGTGAGGCGAATTTAGTTTAAAACAACTATGTAGACGAATGACCTCAATGAAAACAGTACAAAACTTACACTATTACATGGAAGAATCATTCAAATATTGTTTTATCAGAAAAGTATTGTGAAACGGTTGATACTAGGTACAGCTCTAGTTCATATCTTGTGAGTGGTGTAACCCGTAATTGGTTGGCCCAGTTTGCACAAGGCACGTAGTGGTGCGACACACTTCTGGGAACGTGCCTGGCTCAGCTAGATGGCCAGATAAGACCTCTAAGGACAATGAACAAACTAAGACTGCGTGTATTACGTTGTCGAAAAGACTGTCATCATAGTACATTATTACGGCATCGATCACCGTCTCTGAGTAAGCTCTACTAAGTGACGCTGTAGATAAACAGTAATGGTGGATAAAACGCACGCTTACCATCGCGTCATTGCTCAGTCGCTTCGTAGTCTTGCCACTAGATGCAGCATTAATATAAACCAACTCTAAAAAACCTACTCGTTTTAAAACTTCACACGGTTCGCATCATAATCTGCGTCACAGACTCGCGTAGGCGTTTCGCAAAACTCCAAGATGGTATTTTTATGAGTCTTCTAATGTGTCAAAAATGGCATGCATAATGTAAGGACTTATCGCATAACATTAATATATGAGGTTTTTACGATATTAGCAGTGAGGTAATTTTAATAATAAGTAATCGATAAAACACATTACAATTCTTTTTAAGTTTTTTAAACTTGGTCAAATATCTACACCGAAGAAATATATAATTTTAAAGAAACGAAACGCCCTAATAGACAGCAATAGCCAGGACAGGTATTCAAAATAAACTAATGAAGGTGATTAAATAAAAAGTAATTAAATAATAATTATGAATAATTATTTATAATTACATAATGAAGTTATCATTCTAATGAGAGGCTATACTATCACATAGTCACACAACCTTCACAATTTATTCATTAAAATATTGCATGATATCAATCTTCTCTTTCATATTAATCAACTATTTGTTTTATTTATAGATTGGAATGGATTAAGTTATTATTGAAATTCAAACTGTAATATCAATTTGTTGGAAATAAAATGTATAAGTCACCGGCAATCTGTATAATTCTAGGCAAAGTATGAAATGTATAATATTTCATACATTGCCTTGACGTTTTCGGCATTCTATACATTGCCTAGGACCTAGGCAATGTATAGAATTATGTGTACAATATAGGTATTGTATAAAATGCCGGATGCATAAACCAATCAAGGCCTTATAACATAGGTACTTGTTAAATTTTATCCATTTAGCAAATATTGAAACTAAGTAGCAGCACCTTGCATTTCATTATTACTCATTTTATCAAATTCTTTTACAGCATTTGTAAGGATGTCGAAATGTAGAGGTGTTATCTGTTACTATGTTAATATTTACAGAGGCAGTGCAACTTTATCACGAGTGAAGTGTGCTTAACCATTGTTGCTTTCTATAAAATCACAATGGCGACTACAATCCGAAATGTGTTAGTATGAAAATGTCATATTAATTTATGTAATTATATTTACCAATAACATTGTATTTATTTCTTAAGTGTTCACGCACAGATATCATTAAATAAAACACCTTTTAACGGGTTTAAACTGTGTTTTTTAATATTTTTACATTTTCACGGCGCTTCGAATCCCTTAGAGGCTGTGAAGGACGTAAAAGAGCCTGTTAAGGAGAAGTGTTTTTAGTATCATCCTAAATTAAATGTTATTTAGTCAGATATGTATAACGTAATACAAATACTATAAAGCAAAAACTAAATTTAGTAAATAGAACCTTACCACGATTTCTTATTGCAGGGATAAAGACCTTACCACGATTTCTTATTGCAGGGAAACAACGAAGCCAAAATAGCCACACTAGACTAGACAGCTAAATAGGTTATCTATTTTAACTCGTAAAAAATGGCCCATTACTTTCAATTAAATCGACAAAAAATGGAAGATGTTTTTCTATTCGTTTAACTACCTGTTTGCTATAATTTCTGCACTACTCTTCCGGAACATCAGGCTTAGCCGAAGTAAACAGAGGCAATTTTACGTTATAAGCACAAAGTTTCGGGGTTCTATTTTATTTGGTTTTATAGGTTTGTCACTATTACTTCGTCGCGCGTTTGTGGCGTCGCAAAACCAATTGAATTTTCTCTGGTAGTCCAGTGCACCCAAGAGACGAATCGAATGAGTTTTTATCAACTTTTTTTTTTGGGAATTGTAGTCCAAATCGTTGTTTATTCATGATATAGCATAAACAGTACTTACTATAATGGTAAACATCTAAAGACAGTAGTTTATTGATCATGTTATGAAATGTTTTAATGGGCAGGTTGTGATCTTAACGCGTTTATCTGAATTAGTTTCAATTTTCACCCACGATTTTTCATCATAAAATCAATCGTGGGCGAACGGATGTTGGCTCACCCAACGGTTGTTTTTATAGAATTTTAATGGAAAATTTATAATTTATAAGTTCCGCTTTTAGCAAATATTTCGTAAATATATATGAACAAAGATAAATTAATTAACAAATGGCGAACTAGAATCCCTGTTTTGATTCTAATCAAGTAATATTAATGTATGCAAATTATATCTTATATCTTATATTTCTTTTCAATTCCTGTAAATCATGATAGGGACGGACACACTGTTGTCAAGTTTACAGACAGAAAATACGAATAGCAAAGTATTCACTTTGCTATTCGTATTTTCTGCCGGTATTAATGTATACTATGTACCGCAAAAGTCACGATCAACGCGGCGCCAGCGACAGCAGCAGCGTCGTAAGTTGTAAGTAGTAAGAAGTTCTTGACCAATCGCGACCGAGGACAAGGGTTCTACGAACTCGCGCACGCGCCTCATTGGTCAAAATACGCGCCAACTTCGAACCGGTTTAACTCGTAGACACGTGCGCTCATGGTTACGTTTGTGTGTGTGTGTGTGTGCGTTTAGTATGTTGAATAGAAAGTTGTGTTGTGATGACGGCAGCAATGATAAATCGTGTCCCTTTTTCTTAATTGGTGTTATAATCATAAAGGTATAATTAACCATTTCTTCCATTGCTGGTTTTATGTTGCAATCGAATTAATTGAAGCGCCTCAGTCGTAACAACATAAAGTAAGACAAAGACTCGTAGAGTTAAAGATGTTGGCTACGTACGTCCAGGTAGTAAAATCACGATGCTTCATCTCATCCTATTCTGTATAACCAGTCTGTTGAGTAGATTGAACCTTGGTGCCCCTCAATCCGCAGCACGTAATAAAGGAGCTATTTCAAGCCTGCAACACGCTCCTGGCAATTACTTCAATGAAAAACTAGCTGATGGTTCCTAGACGCTCGAGATTGTTGTGCCGATGGCGATTACGCAAAAATTACCTTTTGCGACCGACTAATTGGGAACGAGTGTGCGTGAAACTGGTTTTTATTGTATTCAAATAAAAAGGTTTTGATCACGCGCGTACCTATGTTGGAGTGAATTCTCATTACGTATACTGATCAAAATGCTCCCAAGAGGCTCAAAACAGCTTAGTCATGGCGTGTTGAAAGCTTAAACTCTGGATCTGATTTGAGTGCCTGCCTATTGTTCGTAAAGGTCAGCGGTGCGCGCCCGGCCCGGGGTCACGTTCTCTCTTCACGAGAGTACGCGACTGGTCAAATTTTGGTTCATTGTTCCCCCTCCTTACTGTCTGTGGACACTGTTATTGTTACTTGAAGAGATTGTCCACCAATAGGACAAGTCGTCTCTTTAATCTACTTCCAATCTGTCGCTTTATCAATTTGAGAAGAACGCAATTCGTTAAAGAATCGAAAGTATAGATTCATAAGTTTTGATTATTCTTTAATCATAATGACTCTTGTGAATTGTTTTTGTAATGGTCATATTGGTAAATAAATCAATTGGATTTATATTAAACGACATTTTCTTATTGGAAATTAAATAAATAAAAGATAATATATGACTTCCTCCTATAGATATTGCAATCCACGAAGACGCGCCCCACTATTCCTCCTAACCATTTATAGTAAATATGTGCCAGCTTCCACCAATATTTGAGTGTTATCGGTACACACTAATTTTTATCTATTATTATAATAATAATAATAAATATTTCCAACACTCACACCAATTAGCCTAGCCACAAAGTAAGCACTGTAAGGCTTGTGTTATGGGATACTAGGGTAACGATAGAATACATATACTGTACATATATAAGTATATTTTATATAGAAATACATATTAAACATACAGGACTGGAGTACAAATGCTCGCATTCATCACACAAACGTCTGCCCCCACCGGGATTCGAACCCGGGACCTCTCGAGTCGGCGACACCATGAAACCCGGCGTACAAACCACTCGACCAAGGAGGTCGTCAAGTACCTTATTAATTTAATAATAAATAATAATATGATAATTATCTTTTTATCACTAATTATCCTTCAACCAAGCATTGGTGGGGCGCATCTACGTGGATTGCACTATCAGTACAAAAAGACAAAAGGATATATATACATATACAGCATATGTAGCCCAACGGTTGACAATTCGAGCTACCAATATGTTGATACATTGCTGTTTACTTAAAAGGGCAAAATAATCCAACTGTGACAACAGGAGCATTATTTGCTTTCGTCGGAGATAAAGAGCGTGTCTTCGGCAGCTGTGTCTTCATAAATAGCGCGTAATGTTAAAAATGGCACTTACCTTCAACGCGCAAAAAATGCACGACGGACCGAGGCAGGCGTGCCCCGTCAGCTCGCGGAAGCTGCGCCGGAATATGTCCAGATGCCAGAGCACCTGCGAACAAAAGATTGTACCAAATTAATCCACGCACTTGCTTAATTACAGCGATACAAAGCCTACCTAATTAGGGAACGCTTTTGTTTCTTAACCTAGGGAGGTTTCGTTAATAAAAAATAATCAAGGTTTTATGTGCTGCGTTGGAGAATATTTGGATTTGATTGGTTTGGTTACGTGTTTAAAAATACAATAAATGTTTATGGAGCTTTCAAAGTAACTTTTGGAAAGGTACAATCCTAAGAAATCACCATAAATTTAGCAATTCAGGAACATACTTGTATGCATAAGAACAATATTCTACTGAGATTTTCTTCCGTTCGAATTCAGCGCTATTTTAATGAACAAGAAGTTAGAATTTGAAGTTTTTTGTGTATTTCATCACCTGTACACGAAATGTAGCGCCACGATCTATATTTTTGATATTTTTTTCATTTTTATACATATTCCAATAAAGTTCATGATTCCATCTGCATCATTTTTCCGTCACATTAAATATTCTACTACACTTTATCAAAATTAACTACCAGGTGTCGCTTGTAGAACATATGCAACGTGAAGTATCGCCAATAAATAGAAAAAGTAATTGCACATTTCATTATCGTCCGAATATAGGCACCTTATACTCAAGCGATAATTTATAAATTCATCTATGTTTAATATTGGTTCAGGTGCTCAAATGCAGTTTTTTATTTTTAACTAGTTACCTACATACGCGCAAACCTTTAATTCCGCGCACGAGTCAGCAGGTGAACATAATAATGTTCATCTCCTTTTTTCTAGGATACTTGTTCTTAATTACTAAAGTTTAAATCATGGAAATATCGTGTCTTTCAGCAGGACTCAAATGTTTTTGTTAAAAGAAATTAATATCGTTTATTTTAATAATCAACATTCTCATGCTTAAAGTTAAAGGTAAAAATTCCAAAAACGCTTAAGTGAGTACATCCGTAATTTTCAACCATAACAATAATATTTATCATGAAAGGTGTTGATCATCGTTACTGTAATAATAAAGCTAAGAAGCTCCCTTCTCTAGAAGGCGATTGTTTTTTTTGCTTGCACATGTCGCCGCACCTGACGTGAAGACGCGTGTCCTTTGGAACGAAGCGTCAGAATCGCAGGCGACATATGGGGACGTCATCCGTTGCTGTACATAAAATGTAAATTCATGCTACTGATCTAAGACGGCACGCGTTTGTAAAGATATATCTGGCATTGTAGACAAGTGGCCCTCTTTTTTTTCTATTTCACCGAATGCTAAAGTTAACTACAAAAGTTTTCACGTAAGCAAAATGCATACTCATCTTACCACCTGGTGGTATATGACACACAATGATTATTTATAAGTCACAAGCTAAATCTCATGAAATTTAACAAATATTATTTGATACGCATATGCTCATGATATATTTATTTCATAGTTTAATACTTATGTGTTTTTTAAACTTAACATTTAGCGATAACCATGAAACGAATAAAAGATGATCGCATGTCTGAGACTGACTAATTGCACCAGTAATTGAATCATACATATATTTAGCAGTGATACTCAATTTAACTTATCAGACATTAAAATTTTGCCTACAAAATAGTGTTAGATAGTGTTCATGGTTTAAACATGCAAATAACTACATTTGTATTCAAATTCTAGAGAGATTTGTCTAGAAATTGTATTCCTATATCGTAAAAAACAGCTTTTATTCCAAAAAGTAACACTTTTTAAAGTCGATGAAATTCTATATTTTTTGTAAGTTAAGTACTCATTAAAATAGCAAATTTGTTAATTTCTTCTTTTTCTTTTTATGTACTTTTTTTGTAACAAACTAAATAAACAAGCGGATGTCAGAGACTTTTCCTATGTGCAAACCTTGAGCAAACATCCATTTTACATACAAACTGTCATACCGTTTTCACATTTATAAGAATGGTTTCTTTATCAAACATGATTTCACAGCAGAACCAAAAACATTTTTTAAGGAACACGATTGATTTGTTTTTATTGATCAAAACTGGATTAAGCCTAACAACGTTGTCAATGCAGCACAAAGAACAATGTTTACACAACAATCAAGTTCACAATGCGGCAATAACGCTGACAGCTCCGTAGGCGCAGCATTAGGAATAAACATATCCATTTCACATAAAGATCACCAAACGCCAACACAATTCTCAAGATGGCACCTACGCAAAACTTTAAAATGAATATGTGTTTATGGTTTCTATTTTCTGTTTTTTATTGAGTCTACACGCGCATCCAATGAGTCTTTTTAACAAAATTAAAAAATAAACTATTGTAATTTCAGAATAAATTCACGTTTCCATTAATTTACAGTTATTTCTAAGCATATAGGTACAGATCCAGGAATATGTACCAAATCAGAGAGAAAAACTATAAAATTCACATTTGAGAAGATTCCTCTGTTCTGCTTTCCATTTTTAAAACGTCCTTTTTGACTCGAATGGAGACAGCATTATGAATTAACATCTTTACGACAACGTTTATGGTTTAGTTTATGTAAATAGCTTCATATGTATTCAAAGTCTAAAGAGGTTTGCGTAAAAAAATGTATTCATGTTTGATCACAATTCCGCACCTGTTATTGTTGTGGTAGATATTCGAGTTTTTCGCGATTGTTTTAGGGCAAGCAGGTGCTTAACTCAAACTGGCTCCGGCAGATGCGGCGGGCAACATTGATGCTGATCAAACTTGCTATTGTTTTATTTTGAAACTGCGCATTTATATATAAAGGCTGTGGATATGGAGTTAAAAAAAGTTTGTATTCTGCAAAAGTTTAACGAAAAATCTACCTTTACGTCATACCTCGGATTGCAAGCTAGTAGGGGAATTGCGGTCATTACCGGAGTCATTTCAGATTATGGGTTTTAAAGACTACAAATGTAACAGCGTGCATTCCAAAGCACAGAGGAGCTGGAGATAGTAAATTGTTGGTCACCCATCTTAGTAACCAATGATAATGGGCAACCAAGCTCCTCGTAGAGGAATATTGAACAACTAAAACTATAAGTAAATAAATACGTGATTTTATTACTGGTTGCGTAAATCAACTTAATTGTAGTCACTTTTCAAAATTATTTTTATTAAGAAGCGGAAGGATGACATATGCGCAGGAGCTATCGTCCGTTGCACAAATAAAGCCTTACTTTGCAAACTCAGTTCGTTGCTCGTTTTAAAGTTGGTCTCTATTACTAAAGAGGTAAAGTTCATCATAATTATTTACAACTTACAATCTTCTTAAACTAACCCAAGAGTTAGTGAAACTGTACACTTATCAAACGTATAATAAAGATTAAAATCGCATGTAGAGGCGCAGGTGGTTTAATGGGAATGTTTGAGTAAACTAGTAGGTAGTTGTTAGATAAATTGCGATCGGTGCAGACACGTAACAGGATTACTGTTAGACACTATGTATGCTGTAATTTAACTGGAATTACAACTAGCTAACAGACTGAATATCTAGAGGATACTATTTATAGGAAACGAGTATGATAGCTGACATATTCTTTTAATAGCACTCTAAAGGTACAATTATTTACGATTTGTTATTTGAATATTGAACAACTACCTAATAAAAAAAAATGCGAAAAGCTCCCGGACAAACAAATACATTTGAAAATGTTAACTGGAGTGCCACGCAAGAAAAGAGAGGCACAGCGACATTGCCTCCAACAATTAAGAAGTAATCTTCACCTTACAGAAGGCTGCAGAGAAATAATGGTAGCATTTGGTGGTCTTACGTTTTTGTCGATGATTAAGGTCTCAGGGCCTCACGAGGCAGGCAACCACGCAAGTGATACTCTATCTTAGCAAGTATCAGGATTTTTTTTATTTACCTTTTTTATTACATTAGCATGATATACCAATATAACAGAAAAAAAAACAAGAGTCGCCGTTACGTGATTCTGCTCTATCGCTGGGTAACATTTTTATACGAAGGTTTAACCAAAAAATAACATCAAGAAAAAAAGGGCCTGTTTGCCGAACAAATTCAAGATGGCATCGTGAAGATCACGTTGTACTTCACAATAGCACGTCAAATATCCAAATAAAGGGAGGACGGAGGACTATTGGCTAGGAAAAAAAGTCTTAAAGGGGAGTTTACACCAGAGTTGTGTGCATGTTAAATGGTTTTTAAGGAGCGTCTCTGTGTGTACAGACTGTGACAATATCTTCTGCTAATGGAAGTGGGGTCGGTGAGCGATAAGTTTTTAGGGACAACTAAGAAAACAAAAGTGTGCGATGTGCGATAAGACTTTCCTGCTTTTAGGCCTGAAGACGCTTTGGGCACACGTTTGGGATTGCTTCGTAGATAATTCCAAAGCAATGGTACTTATGTATCTCTTGATTAATAATTAAACCCGCTATAATAAAAAAAAAACAATAGCATCTGTAAAAGAATGAGTTAGGCAACGATAATATTGGAGTAAGATGTAAGATGAGATGTAAGAAGACTTTAATTATCATTTTAAACATTTATTTTTAAATTATAACTAGCCTAATGTTTTAACATAAAAAATACCACCTTTTTTCCTAAGCTTCAATATATTTTATTCATCATGGCTCAATTACACTTGGTCGTTAGTTAGCCCGTATTGCCCGGGTGCATGAACTACATTGCTCGAATTCGGGCACCCGAAGCAATATTCACACTGGAATACGGTGTCGGGTAAGCTAAAACAAAAAACTACGCGAATTCTATTGTCACTCATATGCAAGCTAATGAACAAATGTAATCGCGCCATTATGAAATAGTTTCATCTTTTGATAACTAATCATCCATCCATCGAACTGGGATTTAAACTCAATTGTGAGTCACAAAACAACAACATAAAACTTTGTAAGCTTATTTATTCCTACTTAGTGAAAAGTTTTGTGTCGTGCGAGCATAAATTTATACTCCAACTAGACGCACGTGTTCGCATTCAAAGGCTACTACTACTACGCCAAGACTGGAAGGCGAAGTTTATACATGTTATCC